GGAATACATGAGACATGCATATACACATACACACACAAACACAGGGGGGGGGGGAGAGAGAGAGAGAGAGAGAGAGAGAGAGAGAGGTAAAATGACCAACTTCTAAACATTTAGTTTTTTATTGAAATTATGTGATTTTTTTTTTTTTTCATACAACATAGTTTGATGGTATTTAGATCCCCTCTCTGCACCTCCCCCAACTGCCCCATGACCAGTGTACTCTATCTGGCTTGCCTGGAACTTGCTGTTTAGACCTGGCTGGTCTTAAACATGCAGAGATTTACCTGTCTCTGCCTTCTGAGTGCTGGGGCTAAAGGCATGTGCTACCATGTCAACTTTGTGTTCTTAACCACTGAGCCATCTCTCCAGCCCCCTATAAAGACATTTTTAAATAAAAAATAATTTCAACTTTTCCTAAGCTAATAAACCCTCTAGACATCTATATAAACAAAATTAAGAAAATAAATCCTCTAAATCATAGTCACTATTGTGCTGTCTTATAAGTTGTTTTGTATCACATCCTTTTTATTTTAAACGGCACATGTGACACCTAACTATTTTACAGATTCGTGGGTTTTTGTGTTTGTTTTGGTTGGGATGGATTTTTAATTTATTTTTAAATTTTATGTATATGAATATTTTGCCTGCATGTATATAAGTGCACCTCTGTTGTACAATGTCCACAGAGGTCAGAAGAGGGCGTCAGAACTGGAACTGGTGTTGTGGATGGTTGTTAGCAGCTATGTCAGTGCTGCGAATTGAACCAGGGTCCTCTGCAAGAGCAGCCCGTGCTCTTAACCACTGAGCCAGCTCTCCAGCCCCTTAAGACTCTTTCTTCTTTGTTAAACTTTCTAGCCCCTGGTTTTGTTTTTTTGAGGCAGGATTTCATGCTATAGCCCAGGCTGGCCTTGAGCTTGCCAGTCCTTCTGCCTAAGGTTCCAGGCAAAAGCCACCATGCACAGATGTATGGTTTTGAGTCACTGTGTTTTTCTTTTGCTGGGATAGATAGAATGCAAGGCCTTGTGCATGGTGAACACACACTGTGCCACTGAGCTGCACCCCAGCTGTTGACTCTCACCTTGTCTCATTTTTACCTCCTTTTTCTTACAGGATTTTATCTTGGAACATTATAGTGAAGATAGCTATTTATATGAGGATGAAATCGCAGATCTTATGGATCTTCGGCAGGTAACTGCAGTGGTCAAGGGGAGTCAGCTCTGCTTATTGAGGCTTCGGGGGATCCCATGACTGATGCTTGTAGCTTAGAGAGTGCAGAATGCCAGGGATGGAGAGGGAGTGCCAGAATCATCCATTGCTTGCTCTACAAGACAGCCATAAAATGGGAGAGTGTTAGTGTTGGCCTTGGGGCTGGGTTCCAGGATTCCCAAATCTCTCTCTGGCCCTCTGCCACCCCTCCTAGAGTTTGTGATACATGAAGTAGGCCCCACACACCATAGAAATAGCATGAGGCACCTGCTTGCATGTGCGGGGATGGGTCCTGGGCTACATCTTCATTGGCTCATACCCATCCTTATCTTAATTTCAGGCTTGTCGGACGCCCAGCCGGGATGAGGCCGGGGTTGAATTGCTCATGACCTACTTCATCCAGCTGGGCTTTGTGGAGAGCAGGTTCTTTCCACCCACCCACCACATGGGGCTCTTGTTTACCTGGTAGGTGCTTTCCTGGGTCCCTTTTGCTGTGCTGCCTCTCATTCTGACAGCAGTATTTGTACAGCAGGCTCCAGAGGCTGTGGGGGCTGTCCATAAATTGGTGTTTGTTTATGCAAAGACCCAGGGGAGAAGGCTCCAATAGACCATGGCTTCTTGTATCCCAGAACAAATGAGCCAAAGAAAGGCTTTTTGTGTCTCTCTGTGTGTGTGTCCAGGACCCTTGGGTGGAACTAATCAGAAGTAAAATTCTTTTAAGACAGTATCTCTCTACATAGCCTAGTCTGGCCTGGATCTGTGTCTGCACCCTAAGTGCTGTGATTATAGGTGTGCACCTCCAGAAAGGGATTTTAAAACTTGCATCGGAACATTTGGATTCTTCCAGAGTTGTTATTTTAAAGATTGCTATGATTTCTTGAGCTAGGTTCTTGTTATGTAGCCCAGACTGGTCTCAAGTCTCCCGCCTCGGGCTTCAGTGTGTGCTGCAGTGACAGGCATGTACCCTCATATAATCAGGCCCATCATTTTGCTTAGAATCAAAAGCCTCATTGCCTGTGCATCTGTGAATTTTATGTGAGAAATGGGTTTTGTTCCTGTGTCTCCAGGAGTGAGATTCATTAACTAAGTAATCCCTATGCTCAGAACACGTTTGTTTTCAATAGGTATGACTCCTTCACTGGGGTTCCTGTCAGCCAGCAGAACTTGCTGTTGGAGAAGGCCAGCATCCTCTTCAATATCGGGGCACTGTACACCCAGATTGGGACCCGGTGTAACCGGCAGACACAGGCTGGCCTGGAGAGTGCCATGGATGCCTTCCAGAGAGCTGCAGGTGTGTGTCCTCCAGGGCTGTCACTATACAGTGGCACTGGGGCCCTAGCTGAAGAATTTTTTTGCTTGGATTCTCTGCAGACCCACCAAAAGACAAGGCCTCACAAGTCTGAAAGGGCCAGGCTAGGGGCTAGGGTGTGGTTCAGCAAGAGAGCTTGTGTCTAAAAATACCCCAGTGAGGGGCTGGGGACATGGCTCAGTGGTAGTTTGGCTGATATATGAATGCCCCAGTATCACACACGTGTAAGAGGTTGGGGGCGGGAAGGCCATGTAACTTCCTGGTCAGGAGACTTACTCAGCGATTGACATCATGTCATCTTAGTCCAGTATGACTCGTGTACACAGTGAGGCCTGTGGTTAATGATTAATCTTTCCAGATGAGTGGCCTCAGTGATGGCAGTGAATATTTCTGAATAGTGGGAATTCAGTAACTTGACCCAGCTTGTGAAAATGTAGCCTTTTAAATTTTCTTAGTTGTACCTATAAACAGTCCGTATCTCTGCTTATCCACAGGGAACACGTTCCAAGAAACTACAGATAGTTCTGAAACCTATGTGTACTGTTTCCCTCCCTATATGAGGAATGAGGATGTAACTCAGTGCTAGAGCACTTGCTTAGCCTGTGTAAGGCCTTGGGTCTGATCCCCCAGTACTACAAAAATTAAATAATAAATAAATAAATAAATGGAATGGGGAAAGGGAGAGGAAAGTAAGAAGAAAAACGAAAAGTTTCCATATATGTATGTATCTTTGATAGATTGGCACAGTTAAAAGATTAACAAATAACAACTAAGGAAACATGACAATGATAATGGAATAGTGTCATAAATGTTATGAATTGCTTATTTCTGGAATTTTCCATGTAATGTTATATTACAGTTTGCTGGAGGTCACTGAACCGGAAGAAAGCTCAACCTCAGATAACAGGGAATTACTGTATCACCATCTGCACCTTTATAGTTGCTTAATCCACCAAGTTTGCCAGCCTGAGGTGCTGTTTTCAGCCCTCTCAAGTGACATGTACAAGGGATACCTGGAGTTCTGTCACCTTTCAGGCATTTCCCAGATACTCCCAGCCCCTTTTTTAAGCAGTACTGGGGCTGAAACTCGGGATCTTTCACATGCTAGGTGAGAACTCTACCACTAAGCTATATGCATAGCCCTTGGCCCTTGGTTGTTTTAGACAAGGTGTCCCTGTGTATCCCAGGTTTACCTTGAGCTTGCTGTGTGACCCAGGTTGACCTTGAACGTGAGAGCCTCCTGCCTTAGTATGGATGCTGAGATTATAGGCAGCTTGTTTTTCCCATTTTAACTTTGTTACCCCCACAACTTATGCTTTTATGAATCAGATTCTGGGTCAAAGAAAAAACCAGCTTAACACCAGCCTATGGGACTGGCGTAATCAGAGCTGGTGCAGTGAGCCAGTCTGGGACAGATTAAGGTGTCCTAGGGGTCTGTCTGTATTGCTTCCCTGTAGCAGGGTCCATGTCTGGGCAATACTCAGCATGATAACAGAGGGCAGTAACAGCAGCTCAGTGCAGACCACAGTGTGACCCTCCAAGCCTCCAGCCTTATAACTTTTTTTTTCCCCCTCCCTTGAGAAAGGGTCTCACTATATAGAGCAGGATGGCCTTGAATGCATCATGTAGCCTAGGCTGACTTTGAATTTGAGGTGATCCTCTGGGTCTCAATCTCCCAAGTACTAGGATTACAGGTATATGCCACCACTCCCAGCTCCAGCCTAACATTTTTTTCCCCTCTGTGCTGATCATCTCCTCTTCTTGCATGAACCTGCTGGAAACATTGCCCTGTAAACCTAAGATGTACCACAGAGCTTTGCCATTTTGACCCATGGTAGAGTATCTTATGTTAAAATGCTTGGTCCCATTGGGGTGAAATGATGAAATGGTAGGCTACGATTCTTTTTGTAGATGCCTCTTTTTCTTCTGAGGAACTTATTTTATTTGTTGTAGGCAAGGTCTTCCTAATATTTAGCCAAGGCTGGCCTTGAACTCTGTCTCCCCAGTGCTAGGATTACAGGTTTGTGCCTCTGTGTCTGGCTTGTGAGGACTATTAGGGCAGGCACACTTTGTGACCTGCCTCCAAGGCTTCAGAGATACACACAGAGAAGCTTGGGAACGGGATCCCGGAAGGGAGGAGAAGGGGAGCAAACAGCCTCCAGCAGATGCAATCCCTCTTTGGGGCAGCGAAACCAGTGGAACCAGCTGGATGGGATGCATGTGGAGAGTCCATTGAACTCAGGTTGACTGTCAGTCAGTGCTCCTGACAGTTATCTTTTGAAAGTATCAGAAAGTCAGTTGAGGGTGACAGTGTGGCACATCCATTACAGGGGTCTGGGTGGTTCTTTCCCAAGCTCCCCAGGAAAAGCCCTGCACTTCTGAATGCCTAGGTCTCATGGGCGAGCGTGGGCCCCGGTGCCCCTCACCCACTTGCCTGCTTTCTGTTTTCTTCTGTCACATGCCCAGTCCTGGGTGGGATTTCCACCCCGGGCATAGAACAGAGAAGCTGGCTTCCTTGCTCCACACACCTGTAAGTCCTAGATGAGAATCCAATTTTTAAAAATTGTGATAAGGCATGGAATTGTCATAAAATGCAGTGTCTTAACCACTTCTTACTGCGGTAAATACTCATGAGTAAAATTAGCATGTTAACTATTTTTAAGCACATAGCTGAGTGGCATTGAGTACCTTGTGTGCCTCTCACCACCATCCAGCTCCAGAATGTGTTCATTCAGATTGGAACTGGCCTATTTTATTGAGACTACAGCCCAGGCTGGCCTTAAATTGCCTCCCCCTCACAAGTGCTGGTTTTGCAGGCATATGCCACTACATCTGGTATCTCTGTGCCTATTAAACAATAACTCCTTTTCCTCCTTCCTGCAGCTCTTAGTGACCTCTGCTCTACTTTGTGCCTCTGAGTTGGCCTATTCCAGGAACCTCACTAAATGGAATCGTGTGATATTTGTTACTGTACGGCTGGCTTATTGTGCTCAAGAGAATGTCTTCATTCACGTTGTTGTGTATTACCAGTTTCATTCCTTTTTTTTGCTTGTGGTGCTGGGGACTGATCTTGGGGCCTTGTGCATACTAAGCATATATTCTACCACTGAACTATACCTCCAGCTCATCGTTGCTTTTTAATATTCCACTGTGTGTATGGGCCACATTTTGTTCACCTATTAACCCATCAGTGGGCTTTGGGAGTGTTTCTGCCTATTGGCTATTGTGATTAGTGCTGCTGTGGGGTGTACAGGTAGTGATTAAGTTCTTTGTTCAATTATTTGGTCCTATCCTTACAGGAGTGGGATTGGCTAAATAATTAGAAATCGAAAGTCAGATTTTTTTAGTTGTTTGTTTAAGATAGTCTTGCTACATATATAGCTCAGGATGACTTTGAACTTTCCACACCCCTACCTTAGCCTCCCTGGTGCTGGAATTACTGGTGTGTACCACCATACCAGGCAAAATGTATGTGTGCATATATGTTACATAAATGTGTTTATAATACACATTAGATAGGTAGTGTTCTGGTTTGTTCTCTTCATTGCTGTTACAAAATACTCTGACCACTACCAACTTGGGGAGGAAAGGGTTTATTCAGTTTACATCTCCCAAGTCACCACAGTTCATCTGGGAGCCCAAGGTAGGAACTCAGGGCAGGAACCTGGAGTCAGGAGCTAGAGCACAGGCCATGGAGGAACGCTGCTTACTGGCTTGCTCCCCTGGCCCCTGCTCAGCCTGCTTTCTTATGCTACATAGGTCCGCCTGCCCAGGGGTGGCACCACCCACAGTGGGCTGGGCCCTCCCACATCACTCATCAAGAAGATGCCCCTCAGACATGGCCACAGGCCAGTCCAATAGAGGCAATTCCCCAATTGAGGCTCCCTCAACCCAGGTGTATCAAGTTGACACTAAAGCTATCCCGCACAGGTAGGTAGGTAGATGCATTCATAGATGGATACATACATAGATGCATAGATAGATGCATGATTAATTGCTAGATTGATATATTTGTTTATTTAGGTATATTTGGGGGCTTGTACTCAGAGGTTTGTGTGTGCTATGCAAATGCTCCACTGCTGAGCTACACCCCAGCCCTGTTTTATTTTCTTGCTCTATCCTTCTCTACAAAAGCATGATGACATGAGCATTGTCTCCTACTAATAAACAAAAACATTACAATTTTAGGGGTTTTAAACTACCTGAAAGAGACATTCACTCATACTCCAAGTTATGACATGAGCCCCGCCATGCTCAGTGTGTTGGTCAAAATGATGCTCGCCCAAGCCCAAGAAAGTGTATTTGAGAAAATCTGCCTTCCTGGGATCCGGAATGAGTTCTTCATGCTGGTGAAGGTGGCTCAGGAGGCCGCCAAGGTAAGGCTTCCTTGTTCCTGTGAGTCCCTAGGGTGCGGGTGCCTGGGAGCAGCAGGGGGTTCCCATGGCAGCAGCTTTGCCCCACAGCCTGGGCAGCATGCCTGACCCGGCAGAGGCTGCTGGCATGTGTTTGCTTGGCGAGAACCGGTGTTTCAGAGACGGATCATTGATTCCATCTGCAGCTCGGCCCAAAAAGCAGCATAATGACAGTTGCCTGATCCCTCTGTTAACTCTGATGCTGACAGCACAAGGACTTGCTTGGCCATGTGCCCACATTCTGGAGCAGTCTCCAGCAGGGGCTCCAGCTTAGAAGAAAGGCCTCTTTCTCTACAGCTAGGCTACAGAGGGGCCTTGTGCTGAGCCCTCTTTGCCCATGTCCCTTCTGTTTCAGGTGGCAGAAGCCTACCGGCAGCTGCACGCAGCCATGAGCCAGGCACCCGTGAAAGAGAACATTCCCTACTCATGGGCCAGTGTGGCCTGCATCAAGGCCCACCACTATGGGGCCCTAGCCCACTACTTTGCTGCTATCCTCCTCATCGACCACCAGTGTAAGTCCTGGGCTCAGGGCTGTTGGCCTGCTGTCTGGGGGGCGGGGAGGATTCTGACGTGAGGAGGATCTGTCTTCCTGTCTTAGATATGTGCCCACCCCCAAAGCACCCATTGACTCAAGTGACTCTCGAACTAGCTTGTGGGAGATAGGGGTTGCCTACTTCTGTAGGAGTGGAGGGGGCAGTTTAATTCTGTCTAGGATCAAGCAGATGATTTTTCAACTAAAACCTAGAATCTAAGAGGTGTCCCAAACTTAGTCGTCTTGACAAGTAGCATTTAAGGTAGGATTTTCATTTTTTCTTTTTCAATTTTTAGCTGCGGGTAGAACTCAGGACCTTATTGGGATAATATTTAATTATCATTTATTTTTATTTAGAGACAAGTGTCTCACTAATGTAGCTCAGGCTGGTCTTAAACTCAAGATCTTTCTTCCTTAGTCTCCTGAGTGCTGGGATTATAAGTGTGTGTCACCATACCCAGTTTCAGAGAGTGATTTTGTTTGTTTTGTTTTTTGAGACTAAGTATCATAAAGTCCAGATTTGCCTTAGACTCCTGATCTTTTCTCAACCTCCCCAGATGCTGGGTGTATGCCAGCTAAGGCAGTTTTTATTAAAAAAATAGTTTTATTTAAATTTTTTATTGCATTTTATTTAGTGTGTTTGTGTATGCGTGCGTGTGTGCGTGTGTGTGTGTGTGTGTGTGTGTGTGTGTGTGTGTGTATGCATGTGTGTGTGTAAGTCAGAGGACAGCTTGCAGGAGTCTGTTCTCTCATGTGGGTCCCAGGATCTATACCTAGGACATCAGGCTTGGTAGTAGTCATCTTTCTTGGCTGAGCCATCTCGCCAGCCCATAAAGGTGATACTTTAAATGAATCAAAATTAATGCATAAAAACTCTGCTGTTAAAGTTTTAAATCAAAACAGGGATCACAGCAAAAATCTGTGTTGAGCTGAATTAGAACCTTATTTTTAAAAAAGTTTGACATTTTGTTTACTGTGGGCCTTTCTTTTATTTTTTTCCCTTTTGTTTGAGATAACTCTTGGCTTGCTGGCTTTGGGCCCACAGTCCTCCTGCCTTGGCCTTCTGGGTGCAGTCTATGAGCCACCATATTCTACTTTTTGCATTAATTTTGAGATTTTAGAAATTGTGGGGCCAGGATATAGTCCCATCTCAAGCACCACACATAGAAAATTAGCATTAAACATCACACTGGCTGGAGATAAGCTAGTTGGTAGTCACTTGCCTAGCTTGCAGGAAGCCCTGGGTTCAGTCCATGCTATTGAATAAACCGGATGTGGTAGTGCATGCCTGTGTTCCCAGCTCCTGAAAGGCAGCAGGAGGATCAGAAGTTCAAGGTTAACCTCTGGCCTCCTTAGTGAGTTCTAGGCCTCACCTGAGCTACCAAAGACCCTGTCTCCAAAACAACAAAAAGACTGTTCTAGGGTGGGTGATACTGAGTGCAGGGAGTACTTATCTTAGGCTGGGATAGGTACGGAGGCCCCCAGGATGTACTCAGATGTGGCAGCCACAGGGTCAGAGCTGTGCTGGAAGATTCCCTGCGGTGGTCATCTAGGGGTAGTCAGGAAGGGCAACTCAAGGCCAAAGTCCAGGACTTGATGGTGTCACAGTTCAAATAGAATTGTCTGTGTGGGTCTGAGGCACCTGCTCCAGAGTGCGAGAATTTAACCCGCAGCTGTCCTTGCAGTAAAGCCAGGTGTAGACGTGGATCACCAGGAGAAGTGCCTGTCGGAGCTCTACGACGACCACATGCCGGATGGGATGACGCCCCTGGACACACTGAAGAGTGATCAGCAGCGAGGGCAGCTGGGTGCGTGTTCCTCTCCTGTGACTAGGACCTGCTTGCTCCTGCCCCAGCCACGCCTGCTCACATAATAGCCCCAAGATGGGTTTTTTGGGGAGGGCTTGGGAGAGTAGGCCACCAGAGTCAAGGCTGCTCTGTTTTGTGAGATCTTTTGGCCAGCCTTAGCATCCATCAGGGCTTCTAGATCTGTGTTCTCCAGGCTTTGTAAGTGGCCAAGCTTCCCATCAAAGCACCAGGTCCTTGACTACCTCCCAACGGACACACAGTAGCTGTCCACAGATGGTAATGTCACACTATCATTGGTTTTCTTTTAATTTATTCATTCAGTTTTGAGACAACATCTATCTGTGTAGCACAGGCTGACCTCAGACTAGCAATGATCTCCTGCCTCGGGCTCCTGAGTGCTCTCTCCCCTCTCTCTCTTCCTCCTTTTCTGGCTTTCATGGTATTGAGAATTGAACCCAGGGCCTTATACATGCTGTATAAGTGCTACACCCCTGAGCCCCAGCCCCAGCCTTTTATATAATTTTCATTTTGCGACAGGTTCTGGGTAGGCTGTCCAAGCTCTGTAGCCCAGGCAGACCTTGAAACTTGCCATCCTCCTGCCTCAGCCTCCTGAGTGCTGTTATGTATCACCGTGCCTGGCGTCCATTGTTGATTTTCTTATGCTTCATCAAGAGTAAGTGAGGGTAGAAATGGGGTGTCCTGGTGTGGTCTCTGCCATGTTTCAGTGTGACCATCTTTTCCCATGAGCTGCCCCATCTTGGCGATGGCAGCTCTGCCTCTGGGGTGCTTTGGCTAAAGCCCCGGGCCTTACTAGGCGGTCTTGTCTGCCTTTCTCATTTCACATTTGTTCAGTAAATCCCATGGGCTCTACCTGATCTCTTCTCATCCTCCACCTTGGCTGAAGCCACACATCAACACAGCTTACTTAACAGACACTGACTTGATAATCATCACCCAGCCCCATGGATAGTTGCTGGGGTCCCTGTTTTCATAGCTGGCCTCTGTTTCCTTCTGTTCTTGCAGAGCCTTGTCAATGGAGTCCTCTCCACCTACCCTGCTATGTTCCTATCCGGCCTTCCAGATCACTGTGATTTATATGGTCAGGTGTGAACTGGCCCTTGCTCTTCTGACTTTGTTCTCTGCCTTTTCTCTTTCCTTCCTTCCATTTTTAACCCAGTCCCACTGTCCTTGAAGCCCTGAGTATGTTCCTGCCCCAGGGCCTTTGCATTTGTTCCTTCTTTCAGGGACATTGTCATATCCTTATGGCTCCTACTTTGCATCCTTCAGAACTCTGCTCAATAGTTACCTTATCAGGGACTGGAGATGTAGTTCAGTTGGTAAAGTGCTTGCCTAGTCTGGAACCTTCATTGGATCCCCAACACCAGCATAAACCAGTAATCCTGGTACTAGGGAAGGTGGAGGCAGGAAGATCAAAAGTTCAAAGGCAGGCTGGAGAGATGGCTTAGCAATTAAGAGCACTGACTGCTCTTGCAAAGGACCCAGATTTGTTTCCCAGCACCTACATGGTGGCTATGAACTGTCCTTAACTCCAGTTCCAGGGGATCTAACACCTGACCTCTGTGGGTGCACTTACATACATGCAGGCAATAAATTCATACACATAGAATAAAAGTAATTAAAAAAAAAAAGTTCAAAGTCATCCTTGGTTACATAGCAAACTTGAGGCCAGACTGGGCAACACAAGAGCTGGTCTCCAAGATGGATGGATGGATGGGTGGGTGGATGGATGGATGGATGGGTGGATGGGTGGGTAGATGAATGGATGGATGGATGGATAGTGGGTGGATGGGTGGATGAATGGATGGATGGGTAGATAATAAAAGTCACTTCATCAAACACACACTAAAAACAGAAAAAGAATTTTTTAAAAAGTTAGAAAGCCTTCCTTGGTCTGGGGAGATGGTTCCGTGGATAAAAACACATAAGCCTGAGGACTAGAATTCAAATCCCTGGCACTTATGTAAATGCTACCTGGGTATGGCAGCCTGCCTGTGATCTCAGCTCACAGGAAGTGGTGGAGGCAGGAGATCCCTGAAGCAGGCTGGCCAGCTAGACTAACTGAATCAGTGAGCTCTGGGTTCCGTGAGAGGCCCTGCCTCAATGTAGAAGGCAGAGAGCAACTGAGGATGCCCAACATTAACCTCTGACTTCCACACCCATGTGCATCTGTACCCACATGTACATACACATACATGTTCCCACACATGTGAATACATACATGCATACCACATGCAAATAAACCTACAAAAATGTTTCTAACTGGCTGTGGTGCTGGGCATGCTTGTCATACTCAGCACTCAGGTGGCCAAGGCAGGCAGATCATGAGTTCGAGGTTAGCCTGGGCTATATAGCAAGACCTTGTCTCAAAACAAGCCTTCTCGAATTACTCATTGTAGACAATCGGCTCCCATTTCTAGTCTTTTGCCATGCACGTCTCTCCTGCTCTGTGTTTCTCCATAACCTCATTGCAGATGATCTATTCTGCATTTTCTTGTTTCCTGGCTACCTGTCTTCAGCTTGTACTTATAACTCCAGGGAGGCATGAGTGTTTTGTCCATTGCTTTATCTGTAGCACCAAGAACATTCAGTGAATGTTTGTTGAGTGAATATTTAATAGACATAGGTGAGCACAGTTACCCATGCATCTCAGAGGGGCCTCTGCTTCCAGGTAGCTCCTTTAGAAAAAGAAGTCCACACTCTGGGGCTAACCCTGGAATCCTCTAGTGCTCTAGTATATTCATGTGCCACATGGGTGGTGGATTTTACCTGCAGGCAAAGGCCATCTGCACCGAGCCATTGGCCACCATGAGGAGTCGCTGAGGGAGGCCAGCCTTTGCAAGAAGCTGCGTGACATTCAAGTGCTCCGGGACGTGCTGTCTGCTGCACAGCAGCGCACTCAGCTCAAGTATGCCCAGCACCAAGCGGATGATGATCTTCTGAACTTGATTGATGCTCCAGATGTTCTTCGTGAGTGGTGGGGACTGTGGGCTGGCTACATGGTACCTGTGCAGTGTGTAGTGTGCTCTGTGTGTATGTGTGTGATGCCACAGATACAAAATCTATATTTATTTGGCCATTGGGTAGGGGTCACACAAGACCTAGCTGCCAGGTGTCTGGCACTGATAGGACTGTATCCTGGAGAGGCTAGTGCTACTCTTGATTGTGGTAGTCCATGTCTGTAATTCCTGCCCTGAGGAGGTTGAAGCAGGATGATGGCCATGAGTTTGAGGCTGGCCTCAGCTATAGCCTGAGCTCAAAGCTAGCCTGGGTTGCATAGGAAAAACCTTGCTTCATCCAAGTGGGGAAATGCTGCTCTTGCCCTGGCTTTTCCAACTTCTCACATCCAGCTTGGAGCCCCTCTGCCTGAGCGGCCCTGTAGTCCCTGCCTCCACTCCTGCACCTTTCTTTGTGTTAGAGTGTCCGCTGTTCCCGACTTGTTCTGCTCTCTGGAGCCTGTGTCTCTCTGCTGACTGTTCTTGCCTAGCCCGCCTTCTCTTGGCCTTTTCTCGGGTCTGTTCTCTCTGTGTTGGCTTGTGTAAAACCTTTCACATGTTTCAGCCGTCTCTCTAGCCAGAGACGCCTGGAGCTCTGAGCCCTGCAGCTTCCTCTGCTGGGCTGCAATGGCTGCCTTGCTTCTGGTTCCTAGCTTGAAAGCCGGTGTGTGCGGTTTCTTCTTCTGGACTTGCTCTTTCTCCCCTTGCTCCATCTTTTGTGCCCACCTTCATTTCTAAGCATCCCCCAGGTGCTGCCCACTGCTGTGTTCAGGATGTTCAGGTGACCTGGACAGCTGTTGCTGCACTTGGAGAGTGATAGTCATGTTTCTTGATAGGGTAGCTTTACAGTGAGGAACAGCTAGGATTTTTCTAGAAATTAGAGGTAGGTGATGGACGGTGGCCCATTTGAGTCCATACCCTCCTGAGGAGGTAGAGAAAAAACCAACCAAGCCTGGATTTGGTGGAACCTGTGCAGTATTCCTCCCTCCAGAGTATGGAGCAGGCCCCTCTGGATGGAGAAGGTCTTATGACCCACTATCAGGCAAGGATAGGTCAGAGATTTTCTTTGTGGCCTCATCCTAGACAGAAAGATTAGAGCTTTTATGATTGCCTCTGGGAAAAGAAGTTTTAGTTTCTATAGCCTGACCCAGGGAGGGATCCTTGAGCCAGGAACTCTGAATGAAAGCAAAAAGCTGTATATTATGGGTTGGAAGGAGGGCTGGAGACGTGGCTCAGTGGTTAAGAGCACATACTGCCAACACTTGGGAGGCAGAGGCAGGCAGATCTTTGTGAGTTTGAGGCCAGACTGGTCTACCTAGCAAGTACCAGGCCAGCTGGGGCTACAGGGAGACCCCGTCTCAAAAAGACACACACACAAAAATTTAGTAATTTATTTCTACTTTATATGTATGAGTGTTTTGCCTACACATATGTAAGTGTACTATGTACATGCAATGGCCACAGAGGCCACAAGCTGGGTGTCAGATCCCCTGGAACTGGAGTTACAGATGGTTGTTGGCTGCTATGTGGATGCTGGGAACCGAACTCATGTCCTCTACAAGAACAGTTAGTGCTTTTAACCTCTGAGCCCTCTCTCCAGCCCTTTGAGTACATACTGCTTTTGCAGAGGACACAAGTCCTAGCACCCATGTTGGGCTGCTCACAACTGCCTGTAGCACCAGCTCCAGGAGGATCCTATACCTCTGGTCTCTGAGGGCACCTGCACCCACATGCATAGACATATGCACATACACATAATTAAAAAATAAAAGAAATATGTGTCATGGTCTCTTAACCCCTCAACTCTCCCCCCATTACACCTCTGGCCTTCATCTCTGCAGCTCCCTCAAGACAGGAGACAGAACCTGCTCAAGTTGGAATTCTGGGCTCTTCTCTATCAGTGTTAGTGTGTGAGGTCTGTCAGACACGACAGTTATCTCCATCTCCATACATTCTCTGACACTGAATGTAGTGCTAATACCTGTGTTAAAGATGAGGAAGTAGGCTGGCAGAGTGCTTTAGACTACCAGTGAGCGGCTGGGGGTGTGGGTCAGTGGTAGAGCACCTGCCTAGGATCCCCCAGTGAGGGGCTGGGGGCTTGGCTCAGTGGTAGAGCACCTGCCTAGAATCCACTAGTGAGAGGTTGCAGGCCTAGCTCTATGCACTTGCCTAGCATGTGTAAGACCCTGGGTTTGGTCCCCACCACTGCAAAAATAGACATAAAGGCTTAGGGATCCAAGTTCTTGTCCCAGGTGACCACACAGGTGGAAGTGAGAGAGGCTGTCATGGATTTTCCTCTGAAATTCTAGTCACCTTGAGCCGGGAGGTAGAGACTTAAACTCCACAGAGGAAGACCTATAACTCAGGAGGTAGCCTGGGCAAAGCATTTGCCCCCCTGTGAAGTCCTCACATCACATATCAAAGGTGGAAGCAGGAAGCACATGGCTGTCCTGAGCGTGAGAGAACTAATGCTCGCTGTGCACTGAAAACACATGTGTCTTCTCAGAAGGGCTTCTGAGGCCAGATGGAAGTCCACAAGACTATGAACATGCTCCTTGGAGGTGGGGCTGTGTCTGGCGTTTCCTGTCCTAGCTTTAAATGATTTATAGTTTATAGGAGGCACAGTGAAAGGCACAGTCACCCTGTGCTGGGATCCATCTCCCGTATAATTGCTTCAACCAAGCAGGGAGAGACATGGTTAGTCTGTCTAGAGAGAAGCCCGGAGACCTGAATTTTCAAGGATCACTTTCCATTACCCACACATTTATTCTGTAATTTGTGATCTTTTCTAGCAAAAACTGAGCAAGAGGTTGAAATAATATTACCCCAGTTCTCCAAGGTTACGGTAACGGACTTCTTCCAGAAGCTGGTATGTTGACCAAGTACTTATTTATTTCATAAATTATCTGGAGGCATAGCTTTTAACTCTTTTCTAAAAATTAATCTGTGAAAAGTCTTAAGTCTTCATCCATCTGAACTACTATAACAAAATACCATAAACTAGGCAGCTTATAATTAGCAGAAATTTGTCTCCTGGTCTGGTAGCTAGGAAGCCAAAGGTTAAAGCCCAAGGTGATTGAGGGTGTGGTGAAGGACTGCTTTCTGGTTCACATGTGATACTTTCTTACTGTCCATAAATGGCTAAAGAGCCAAATGAGCTCCCTTGGGCTTCCTTATAAGGGCAGTCATTCCAATAATGGAGTTCAACATCTCTTGAAAAGCCTCCACTTGCTAATAATCACATTGGTGGTTTGGTTTCAGCATGCAAATTTTGGCTATAGTATGTATAAAATGTTGACTTTTAGATATTTTAGAGTTTTTTTTTATATCACAGGTTTATTTATTTTAAATATTATTTTTGTTTTATGTGTATGAGTGTATTGCCTGTATGTATGTGAGAGTACCCGTGTCGTGCAATGCTGCGGAGGTCAGAAGAGGGCGTCGGATCCCCTTGGAACTGGAGTTAAGGACGGTTTGTAACTGCCATGTGGGTGCTGGGAATCGAACCAGGGTTCTCTGCAAGAGCAGCCAGTGCTCTTAACCACTGGGCCATCTCTCCTGTTCCAGGTTTCATTTATTTGTTTCTGGTTTAGTTTTGTTTTGTTTTTTGTCTTTTTATCTTTTTGAGACAGGGTCTCCCTGTAGCCCCAGCTGGCCTGGAACTCACAATGTAGACCAGGCTGGCCTTGAACTCACAGAGATCTGCCTGTCTCTGCCTCCCAGAGTGCTGGGATTAAAGGTGTGTGCTACCATGCCCAGCTTGGTTTTATTTATTTGTGCATTATTTATACATTTATTTACTTATGCATATGGTACCGTGGGTTGAATCCAGGGTTTCATGTATGCTAGGCAAGCACTCTACCATTAAGCTGTATCCCAAGCCCCTGTAGATTTTATTGAAGATAATTTATCATTTCTAGATCTGGTGTATAGCTTAGTGATAGAGTACTTGCCTAGCCTGTGCAAGGCCCTGAGTTCAATCCCTTGGAGAAGTGGGGGTGGGAGATAGATTTCTGAAAGACAATTTTATTTGAAATACACTGGCTATGTTAGGAAGATGGTAGCTGTTGTTTACGTATGATTAAGGTTGCACACATTGCTCCTATTGCATCATTAGCCTTTGAACAAGGCAGCAGGAGGTCTTCAGAGGTGACAGACTACATTCCCTTTAGTTTTCAGATATCCGATTCAGAGCCAGGCACAGTGGAGCTGCTTGGACTGAGGCAGGGGCATTCCTTAAATCCAGATGTTTGAGTCCAGCCTGGGCAGTATGTTGACTCAGCCTCCAACCCCCCCACACCTTATGATTCTCTCTTCCTAAGGGTCCTCTGTCTGTGTTTTCGGCCAACAAGAGATGGACACCTCCTCGAAGCGTTCAGTTCACAGTGGAGGAAGGAGACCTGGGATTTACCTTGCGAGGGAATACTCCGGTCCAAGTGCACTTCCTGGATCCTTACTGCTCTGCTGCAGTAAGCCTGCACTTTCTAATTGGGGAATGACCCACAGGGAGCTTAACCCAAGTTGGGCTGGGAAGAGTCGTAGCCACAGCTTGGACACATGAGCTTGAATGATGGATTTGGGGTTCAGCCATGTCAAAGGCCTGAGTAAATGAAAGGCCTCCTGGATGTTCCATGCTTCAAAAGAAAAGAATGAGCCGGGCATGGTGGCTCACGCCTGTAGTCCCAGCACTTGGGAGGCAGAGGCAGGTGGATCTCTGTGAGTTCAAGGCCAGCCTGGTCTGCATCGTGAGGTCCAGGCCAGCTGGGGCTACAGGGAGACCCTGTTTCAAAAAGATCCCCCCCCAAAAAAGAAAAGAATGAATTTTTTGCTTTCTCATAGTGAAATTTATGCAAATAGAGGGCTGGGGATACAGCTCAGTCTTAAAGCACTTGACCAGCATATGCAAGGTTCTAGGTTTTATCAGAACACACACACACACACACACACACACACACACACACATGCACCCCAAAAAAATCAAAAGCCAAAAAAAACCCCAGATGTCTACAATTGATTACTTTGTGAACCTGGGGACACATTTTGGGATTAAAACCTGACCTTTATTTAAACCATTCTTTTTAGCTTGCAGGAGCCAAAGAAGGAGATTATATTGTTTCCATTCAAGGTCTGGACTGTAAGTGGCTGACAGTGAGTGAGGTTATGAAACTGCTGAAGAATCAAAAGCCAAAAAAAACCCCAGATGTCTACAATTGATTACTTTGTGAACCTGGGGACACATTTTGGGATTAAAACCTGACCTTTATTTAAACCATTCTTTTTAGCTTGCAGGAGCCAAAGAAGGAGATTATATTGTTTCCATTCAAGGTCTGGACTGTAAGTGGCTGACAGTGAGTGAGGTTATGAAACTGCTGAAGAGCTTTGGTGGGGACGAGGTTGAGATGAAGGTTGTGAGCCTCCTGGATACCACCTCGTCCATGGTGAGTGCAAACAGCCCTGGCAGTAAATAGGGGTGGAGGGAGGTCAGTGAGAGTTTGGCCTTGGAGTTCTCTGTCTCCCACCTGTGTAACATGGCAAGAACAGCTGAAGTCACACTATGAGCTCTCTTCTGTTTATGGTCCTGGGGTGCACTTGCCTTGGCTCAAAGAGATCATTTGAAAACTTAATTTCTAACATTCATCAGTTCATTAATTTTTTGGATTAAATTCTGTTTAATTACAGAAGTAATATAATAAAAATGCTCAGATAAAGCTGGGTGTGGTGCATGCTTGTAATCCTATCACTTGGAAGGTTGAGGAGGGAGGACTGAATTCCAGGCCAGCCTGGAATACATTGTGAGACCCTGTGTCGAATGAATGAATGAATGAATGAATGGTTTATACATTACAAAAGGCTCAGGATCAGATGTCAGAGTTCTCCCCACTTCACAGACCATGATGGTTATTTCCTATGAGATCTTGGGAAGTGTTTGATGATTCTGCAAGTTCATATGTGAGTTATATCCTTTGAGTAGGGAGAGATGTACCAAAGAGTCTCTTCTTTGCTTTGCTGCACATGGCAATGTACCTTAGACAGTTCCCCTGTAACAACCTTCATTCACAATACTTCGAGCCCAAGGTTATGTGTCTGTGTTAGTCAGTTTTTCATTACTGTAACAAGAGACCTGAGATAAGATAGACTACTTAAAAAAAGTGGTTTAGGGCTTGGAACTACAGCTTAGCGGTTAAGAGCACTGGCTGCTTCTGCAGAGGACTGGGGTTCAGTTCCCAGCACCCACATGGCAACTAACAACCATCCCTATATGTAGTTCCAAGGGGTCCAGGGATCCAACACCCTCTTCTGTCCTTTGTGGGCATCGCACAACATGGGTACTCTTATATACATGCAAGAAAAACACACATAAACATCATATAAAAATAACACAATTTGGAGGCTTAAAAATCCAGATTGGGTGGTCCAATTGGATTGGAGATCACATTGTAGAACAGGAAGCCAGAGCCACCAGTTGCACAAGACTCCCTTGTAGGCACATCCACAGTTGACCTAAGTATCCACTTCTTTTTTTTTTGGTCTTTTTGAGACAGGATCTCCCTGTAGCCCCAGCTGTCCTGGAACTCACTATGTAGACCAGGCTGGCCTTGAACTCACAGAGATCCACCTGCCTCTATGTCCCAAGTGCTGGGATTAAAGGCATGCACCACCATGCCCAGCTAGGACCCACTTCTTAAAGGTGCCACCTCCAATATTGCCACACTGAGGCTCCAGCTCTCAGCATATGAACCTTTGAGAACAAACCACATCGCAACCAGAGTGCACACTCAAGTGTGGAGTACCATTCCCCAGGAAGCCTGCTCAAAAACAGAAGCAAAGCATGATTTTTGATACTCATGATAAAGAAGACAGCACATAACATGGTCCAGTGTCTGGAGATGGACACAGGCTCGTAGACAGAGCTGGTACAAATGACGAGAAGGAAGGAGTCATTGAACAGACACAAGAACATGCTGAGCAGGGCACCAAGAGGGGCACAGACCCTGCCAGAGGACACAAAGGAGACCTTTCAGAGCCTGTGCTGTGACAAGGGCCAGGACTGCAGGAAGCGATGAGGGAGGGAGGGAGGGAGGGAGGGAGGGCCTGTTGGCAGTGGTGGGAGGTTAGAAGGTGTTCAGTCTTTATGGAAGGGTGATGACGTAGTGTGGTGTTTGTTTTAGAAGGGTGTCTGCTGCTTGGAGGCCAGCCACAGAAAAGTGGCCAGCAGTCAGTGGTGTAGACTTTGTTTATGTGTGTCTGTATGTGGTGTATGTACATGTGCGTGAATGTAGAGGCCAGAGGACAATGTTGGGTTGTCTTCTATCACTCTTCACCGCAGTTTCTGAGGCAGGTGTCTCAGTGAACCTGAAGCTCAGCAGTTGGCTGACTGACTGGCTAGTAGGATCTACCTGTCTCCTCTCTGCCCCAGCACTGGGGTTACAGACACATGCTGTCAAGCCCTGCTTTTATTTGGGTGCTGGGGATCCAAACTGAGTTCCCTCTGCTTGTGTGGCAGGCACTTTACTGACTGAGCCATCTCCCCAGCTCCAAGGATGGCAGTGGAGAGAGAGGTGGTTGTACCCAGGATACAGTTTGGAGGTAGAGCTAGTGGACCATCTGTGTAAAGATAGTGAGCAGGGGGAAATAATTCAGTTTTCAGCTTAAACAGCTGCACAGGCAGTCACTTTTTTAAAATAATGATCTGGAATTCAGAGCAAGGGAGGTGGAAGAGAGAAAACAAAGCTCTGTTTTATATATTTCAGGAGACATTGATCATCTAAATGGTAATACAAAGGCAGCAATTAAGTGTTCCTCTAGAAAAAGTCAGAATTAGGGTTTCACTGTAGGGTCTCACTGTGTAGCCCCATCTGGCCTGGAACTTGATACATAAACTAGCCTGGCCTCGAACTCACAGAGATCCATCTGCCTCTGCCTTCCAAGTGCTGGGATTAAAGGATTAAAGGCCATGGGGGTTTTTTTGTTTGTTTTTGAGACAGGTTGTCACTATGTAGCTCAGGCTGGCCTTGAACTTGGGATCTTCCTGCTTCAGTCTCCACGGTTCTGGGATTAAGGTACCAGTCTAGAAATTAACATTCACCAGTCATCTGCATGGAGTATTTAAAGCTGTGAGACTAGGGACTGGAAAGAAGGCTCAGCAGTTAAGAGCACATACTGCATTTGCAGAGGACTTGAGTTTGGTTCCCAGCATCCACATCAGGCAGCTCATAACTGCTTGTAACTCCAGTTCCCGGGAATCCAACACTCTCTTCTGGCCTCAGTGGTACACATGAACTCATGCAGGCATACACACATACACATAAATAAACTGTACTAAGTTGCTGGGCTTGGTGGCCCACACTTTTAATCCCAGCACTAGGGAGGCCAGACTGAAGCTATTTAGGAGAGGTTAACTTTTGGCGCATGGTTTTAGGGGACATAGTTCATCATGGTGAGGAAAGTGTGGCAGCTAAGGCCAAGCCATCTAGCCTTACATCTTAGCAGACTGGAAGCAGAAATCATCTTCAAGGCTTACCCCCAGTGACCCATTTCTGCTATCTAGGCCACAATCCCAAAGTTTTCACAACCTCCCCACACAGTGACAGAGCCAGTGTTGGAAACAGTGATGCAGCTCAGCTAAAAGAAGGGGGGAGGAGGAGGAGGAGGAGGAGGAGGAGGAAGAGGAGGAAGAGGAGGTTTTATAGGGGCTTGGGGAGATTCAGTAGCAGTTCATAGGCCTTCATGGTCAGCACACCATGTGTATAAATCCTGCCCTCTGTTCCTCTCTTCCAAATTCCAAAGGGGCAGGTCAATGAGAATCCCAGCACCCACACGGCAGCTAACAACTGTCTGTAACTCCAGTCCCGGGGGATCCGACAGCCTCTTCTGTCCTCCATGGGCATTGCATGACAGGTGTACTTACCTACATGCAGGCAATACACACATACACACAAAATAATAAATAACTAAAAAAAAAATGAAAAAGCCGGGCGTGGTGGTGCACACCTTTAATCCCAGCACTCGGGAGGCTGAGGCAGGCAGATTCAGGGCCAGCCTGGTCTACATAGTGAGTTCCAGGACAGCAGGGGCTACAGGGGCGGTCTCAAAAAGACCAAAAAAAAAAAAAAAAAAATGAAAAATGCTATGGGGGAACAAAATCCTTGGTGTTTCTGGACAGACAGTCAAGGTTACCACCTGGAGCAAAAGCCTGAGATGAGGTTAAATAGGCTATGACTTAGAGGTTGCGGAGGAGCTGGACTCCTTGGAGCATGCTTTGCCCTCATGACCAGTTGACAGACTTATCTTTGCTGCTGCCCTTTGAATGAGGCCAACAAGGAACTGGACATGGTGGTTAAAAACAATCACTCAGCACACACCGACTTGATTTGAATCCTGGCCTTAACCAGAAAAACACTGTGGGCTGGTGTGATAGTTGGAATAGATATCACCTGTGCTGGATAGCTTTCGTTGTCATCTTGACACACCTGAGTGGAGGGACCCTCCACTGAGGAACTACTTCCATTGTATTGGCCTGTTGGGGAAGCATTTTCTTAATTGTTGAGTGATGTGGGAGGGCCCAGCCTCTGTGGAGGTGCCATCTCTGGGTAGTTGGTCTTGTGTTATATAAGAAAGCAGGCTGCACACAGGCCAGAGCAGCAGCCCCAGTAAGCAGCATTCCTCCATGATCTGTGCTTTGGGTTCCTGCCCTGAGTCTCTGCCCTAACTTCCCTCTGTGATGAGCTGTGTCACCTGGGAGATTTAAGATAAACACTTTCCTCCCCAAGTAGGTTTTTGGTCAGTGTTTTTATGGCTGCAATAGAAAGTAGCCAGAATCTCCCCTTTTGTCAACTTAACACAAACAAGAGTCCCCATGGAAAAGGGAACCTCAGTTGAGGAATTTCTTCTATTAGACTGGCCTTTGGCCATGTCTGTGAGGGATTGTCTTAATTACTGATTGATGTCCTTGCAGGGCCCAGTCTGTTGTGGGTGGTGCTGTCCCTCAGCAGGTGGGTCTGGGAGTTTAAGAAAGCTGCTGAGCAGAAGCCAGAGAGGAAGCACGCCAGTAAGCAGTGTCCCTGCATGGTTTCTGTTTTAAGCTCCTGCCCTGACTTCTTAATGATGGATTGTGCCTTGGAAGTGAAAAATGGAATGAACCCTTTCCTCCCCAAGTTGGTTTTGGTCAGTGTTTCATCACAGCAACAGAGAAGAGAAGCAAACCCAAGGAGTAAAGTCAAAGATTGGCTCTGAACCTCAGTACAGCTGGGGGGAGGATCTGTGTGCTTGGGATCCAATGACTTGGTGAGGTGAAGACTTTACAACGGGGCTCAAGATCTGTTTCTTTTCATAATAGGTGTGATACTAATACCCGTGATTGTGAGGGTCATTCCTTGTAGCCAGGGAAGGCTAATAATGAAGATAGATAATGACAGTTGAGCACTGTTTTTGACTGACTGACTTTCCTTCAAGCAAAATCAAATGGTGAGGCCTAGAGATGTGGATCACTGGTAAAGTGCTTGCCCAGCACATCCTGGGTTCCATCCCCAGCAGTGGAAAAATACAAAACAACCAGAAAGTGGTGAGAACAAATGAAGTGCTGTGCTTGAATCAGTACAGTTAGACATAGCTAATCCAGTGTCACGTTGGGAACTACTGACATAGTGGACAAAATCCATGCTTTGGAATTGAGATCTGGAGTCAGGCTGGCAACATGCTGTGTGGCCTCAATACATCTTCCCCCAGCCTTGGTGCCCTTGGTGGTAGACTTGAGGAGTTGAGGGCACGTGCTGAGTTCAGAAGCGCTCTGTAAAGCTCCAGACAGGTGCTAGGAAGAGTTGGGGAGTGGGTGGCAGCGAGGAAGCAGGGCAAGAACAAGAAAAAAGAAAAGTGGAAGGAGGTGGAAGAGAAGAGCTGGAAAGGAACAGACCCTGGGGTGGTCCTGGGAGGGGAATAGGGTCAAGGAAGCTTCTTAAAGAATGCAGTATGTGTGCATGCAGGCATGCATGGATACCAGAGCAAGCTTGTTCCTTGGGAAAGGTCTGTGAGGCAGGAATGCAGAGGTTGGGACCTCGAGGAGAGGGAGTGGAATCCAGCATCATACTTGGGGGGGGTGCTCTTTGAGGGCAGGTGTACTTACATGCAGGGCAAGGGTGTCAGGAGGAGTGCTTGGAGGAAAGGAGAGAGGATGTGAGACAGCTGTCTAGGAGAAAAGGGATGCTGGGACTCAGCAAAGACCAAAGTGCCAGGTCAGAGGCCACCGTTCAGAGGTGTGGGGTCAGGGTTAGAATTTCTAGGGAAGCTGTGTGCTTGGTAAGCATCCTTCAGCTCTGTGAAGCTGTTTGCACACAGGCCTGGGGGAGGCACCGGCTGGAATTTAACTGAAGCAGACACCCTGCTGAAGGGTTATGGAAGAGAGCTGAGGGTGTTGGTGAAGAAGTGGTTGGTTGTCAGACTCTAAATGGGTGAAGGGCGGAAAATATTCGCAGAACTCAAATCTGCCTCAGGATTTCGATTTTTTGTTTTAACGACAGAAGGAACACCACTGGATTCACAGCTTTGTAGGGAGAAAAGAATCTTCACCCAAACTTAGCAATCTCTAAGCAGAATCACAGTAAATATCCCTCCTTTATTGTTGCCTAACTTGGGTTCCTCTTGATTTGTATTATGAGCCCCAGAGTCATGCACACTGGTGACCCCAAAATTTGGCAGGAAATCGGGAGTCCAAGATCCTTCTCAGTTATATAGTGAGCTCGAACTCTGTATCTTGAGCTACATAAGACCATTTCTTAAAAACAAATGAAAGATTTATATTATGAACAGTGTGCCCAAACACTGTAAATGTGTGTGTATAAATATATTTACATATATTTCCAATATATAAAAAATATAAAGATTATATGTATTTATATATAATTATATATATTATATGTATAAATCTAGATATATTTGTATACATGATCTGATTTTAGTACTTGGAAATTAGATGTTCAATAAACATTTAGTGAATGAAACTATCTCAGTGTCAGGCCAATCTGAGGCAGACAACTCAGAAAACAAGTTTCTTTAAATTTCCTACTTCTAGCCTAAATAATTTTTCAAAGTTAATAGGGCTTCTAAAAATCTTTTTTGGATATGGATGGTTATGTAGAAAGTAAATATGCTTCATCTCACTAAATTGTGCATTTAGATATGGTTTAAATGGCAATTAAATTTTTCTAATTTATGTGTATGAGTGTTTTGCCTGTATGTTAAGTACACCCATGTTGTGCAATGCCTGTGGAGGCCAGAAGAGGACATTGGATCCCCTGGAACTGGAGTTATCGTTGTTAGCTGCCGTGTGGGTGCTGGGAACCAAACCCAGGTCCTCTGCAAGAGCAGCCAGTGTACTTAACCACTGAGCCATCTCTGCAGCCCTAAAAATGACTTTTTTTGTTATATAATTTGCCATAGTCCTTTAAAGGGGAAAAAGTTAACACATACACACACACACACACGGTCAGGGTCTGCCTATGTACCCCATGTTGGTCATGAACTCTAGCTCTCCCTTCCTTAGCTTTCTGAGTGCTGAGATTACAGATGCTTACCACCATGCCTGGCTTTTTTTTTTTTTTTGTCTTTTTTTGAGACGGGGTCTCCTGGGAGCCCCAGCTGTCCTGGAATTCACTATGTAGACCAGGCTGGCCTTGAACTCACAGAGATCCACCTGCCTCTGCCTCCCAAGTGCTGGGATTAAGGGCGTGCACCATCATGCCCGGCTATGAAATCTTTTAAAATTTTATTTATTTGGATGTAAGGGAGGATGTCTGCCATGGAGCTCATGTGGAGGTCAGAGGACAACTTAATGGGAATTGGTTCTCTCATTTCACATGTGGGGCCCAGGATTGGAGGTCAGACTTGGCAGTGAGTGCCTTGCTGAGCCGTCTTGCCTTCCTCTCTGTTCTTGCTTTTTTTTTTAATGTATTATTTTTATTTTATGTGTATGAGTGTATTGCCTGCATGTATGTGAGTGTACCCGTGTCGTGCAATGCCACGGAGGTCAGAAGAGGGCTTCAGATTCCCCTGGAACTGGAGTTAAGGACAGTTTGTAGCTGCCATGTGAGTGCTGGGAATCAAACCCGGGTCTTCTGCAAGAGCAGTCAGTGCTCTTAACCGCTGAGCCAACTCTCCAGCCCCTATTCTTGCTTTTAAGAGCCTAATTCTACAAAAGCATCCATCAGTCATCAGAATTTCAGATTTATATCAACCTATATTGTTTGGCATTTATTTAGGTGTGTGCACACCACAGTGTTTGTGTAGAGGTCATAGGACAATTTGTAGGGGTTAGTGTTCTCTTCTCATCATGTGGGTTGCAGGGATGAACTCAGGTCTACCAGGTTTGGTAGCAAGCGTCTTGACCACTGAGCCATCTTGCCAGCCCTTTATCACCGTAATTTTACAAAGGATGTTGTAAGTACACACAAGTCTCAGAGTTTGGGGTTTTTAGGACAGAATCTCACTTAACTCTGGCTGGCCTCCAACTCTAGGCAAGCCTGGCCTTGATCTTCCTCCTTCCACCCTCCAAGCACAGGGTCACAGGTGTGCACCACCACACCTTGCACGAGTCAATCATTTACCAGTTATTGTATAATGGCTAACGCCTTCTTGTCTTCCTTTTTCCACCTGCAGCATAACAAGTCCGCCACGTATTCTGTGGGCATGCAGAAAACTTACTCCATGATCTGCTTGTCCATGGATGATGATGACAAAACCGATAAAGCCAAGAAGATCTCAAAAAAGCTCTCCTTTCTGAGCTGGGGCACCAGTAAGAGCAGGCAGAAGTCGGCCAGCACATTGTGCCTCCCGGAGATTGGCCTGGCGAGGCCTCAAGCCAAGAAGAAGCTCCCTACTCCCTTCAGTCTGCTCAACTCCGACAGCTCTTTGTACTGACAGCAGAAAACAGAACTGTTCATTGCCACAGCCGAAGAGGCGGTGTAAGCATTCGTGCCATAATGGAAAATAACGAAATACTCTCAAATCCCATTTTCTCAGCCTAAATTGTCCTCTTATGAAAGTAAGAAGAAACCTCTAGAAATCCGAGGAAAACACACTTGTGTGAGGGTTTCGCTATACCGCTGCAATTATTTATTCTACAAAGTATTGTACATGGAATAGTGTTGATATTCTGGCTGCTCTTAATGGCTAGTTTTGACTTTTAGGCACTATGGAGTGTGGCCACCTACCTTATTACTATTTCTAATAGGGTAGTAAGGATTCCTTAACCTAGAGTTCAGATGACCCTTGAATGAAGGCAAATCAGAAATGTTACTAAAACCAAATTGCTACTTGGGAGTTCATTAACTGAAAATGGTAACATTTTGCTATAATTTCTACACAGCATGAATGCTGTTTCCAGTCTAGTGCCAATTTTTTTCTGCCTTTTTACTTCTGGCAGTACTAGAGATTGAAACACTGTAAAAAAAAAAAAAAGTAAAAACAAAGAGAAATAACATTCCAGGAGAGCTTTCCCTCTAGTTTGATCCGCTGACAAGCTGCTAACACAGTGGCCATGTTACATGGACATACTGTCTACAGGGTAGATAATATACTGTTTGATACTCAAAACACTTCTCATTTTGTTTAAGGTAGAAAGTACATATATATATTAAGGAGCTAGATTTTATAAGGTTGAAGACAAACTATTCAAGTTGAAATCTCTACTTGACTTTTTCAAATGGACCTTCTTACTGCATTTGGGGCTATACACTGGATGATGCTGTGATTCTTGTGAGAGTCATGGTTGATATAGTGTAAGTGGTGTAGCTTAAAGACAGCCTATTGATTTTATTGTGAGAATTAACAAGGATTTGGCTATTTTTCTATTGTGCAATATCTTTAGGAAACTATAAGTATTTAAATAAACATTCATATTCACTTACTTGAGTTAGTAACTTTTTGTCGTTATTTCTCTTTAATTCCTCCCTTCACACTATTATTCGTCTAGTGCACAAAATGCTTTTATTGTGTTGAGAAGGGGGAGAAAGAAGAAGGGGGACTGAAGGGAAGACAGGAGGCATAAAGGCACCATTGAATGCCTGTGTATTCACACTTGTTTGTTTACATTGGCTGCAGTCCCAGAGCACAGGTACAGGAGGTGAGACATGAACCTGAACCAGGAATGGCTTTCTACATGGTGCTTCACTGTAGGCTGGTTTCCCTTGGTGACATTAGTCACCTGGAACTTATCAAGACCACTTGATGACGGACTCATAAAAATCTGCTCTGAGTTGTGCTGAGAATGAGAGTCTCTGGCACTCTTCAGACAATCCCCACAGGTCCTTTTTACCTTAGCAGAATGTGGGCAGTGCCAGTCACAGCCGCTGGGCCCAGAAGACATCAGTCTGCACCTTGTCTTTCACTGATTGCCATGAGAGGTAATCTTTTCTTCTTGTGTTTTAAAATATGAAAACCAGATCCTGTAGTTTGTGGTCTAAAGGAAGCCAGGTAGATGTGAGGCCAGCTGTCACCTGGGTTGGCTGAAGAACGCATGGATTTGCTGTGCTACTGTGTGTCCAACAACCCCTTCAAGTTCTTGGATAGAAGCGTTACTCAGTCTCTGGATGGTTGGAAACTTCTGGAGCAGAAGAGGAGCCTTAACTTTTCCAACTCCTGGGATCTGCTGCACTGTTCGAACAAGAGACAGCTCAGAGAGCATAGAACGCTTTTTTCTGAGGAAAGGGTTCTTGCTGGGCTCTTTGGTTTGCTCTTGAACCTGAGTGCAAAATTTAGGGGAAAGTACATGAGTGCCCTCTGGAGGACAGTTTTCTTAAAACCTTTTTTTTAGGGTGGCGTGTCTTTTGAACCAGTCTCCCTGTAGCCTCAGCTGGCCTGGAACTCACTATGTAGACCAGGCTGGCCTGGAACTCACAGAGATCCATCTGCTTCTGCCTCCCAAGTGCTGGGATTACAGGTGTGCACCACAAAACATGGAGGTACTTTACTGACTATGCCATCTTCCCAACCCCTCACAGTAGTTTTTTGCTAAGCATGGTGGGACAGAACACACACAGGTAATTATAATGGAGTTAGTGCATTCCACAGTCCAAAACCAGAGCTCCAACCTGTTCCCTTTGTTACACATTTGTCTAGACTGGGTGACAGGCTTAAAAGTTTTCAGAAATCTGGGCTGGAGAGATGGCTCATAGAGGCCCTGGATTCAGTTTCCAGCACACAACTGTCTGCAATTCCAGCTCCAGGGGATCTGACACGCTCTGACTTCCTTGGACACATCCACACACGTGGTATACATAAAGTCATGTAGGCACACAGGCACATACACATACACATACACATAATAAATGAGTGAATGAATGAATGAATAGTTTTGAGACACCGCACGGTGATGTGGACTGGTCAGAAAAGTGCTTGCCTAGCATGCACGAAGCCCTGGGTTCAGTTCCCAGCCCTGTGTAAGACCCAGTGTGGTGGTGCATACCTGAATTCCAGCATTTGGGAGATAGAGGTAAGAGAACCAGAGGCTCAAGGTCATCCTTGGCTACATAATGAGTTTAAAGCTAGCCTGGGCTATGTGACATCCTGCCTCAAAAAAAGTTTTGGGGCTGGAGAGCTGACTCTGTAAAAGAGTGTTGGCTGCTCTTGCAGAGGACTGGGGTTTGGTTCCCAGCACCCACATCAAGTGACTCATAACTGTCTGCCACTCCAGCGCCTGAGGATCTAATGCCCTTTTTGGCCTCTGTGGGCATTGCATGACATGGGTGCACTTACATACAAGGAGGCACTTACATACAAAGATTTAAAAATAAATCTTTCTTAAAAAGTTAAGAAAAAGGCCAGGCGGAGAGGGTGGGTTTGGACCTCCATTGGGGTAGTGACTGGGAGCTTAGCAGACCGCCAGAGAGTGCCAGGTTCTGGCCTCCCTCTGGCCTCTAACTACCAGAGGGCCTGGGAACACAGGGGACAGCCTGACAGCCCCTGGACCCTGCCTCCACATGGTGGTCCTTTTAATAAGAAGATACTATACAGCAGTCCCTTCTGCATGAAATAACTACCATCATCACGACTTCGGTTTAGCCTGATCACCAAACATAGTCACAACTGGGCTTGCTGACGGTTGAGCTCATTCATTAAAGGAGTACCAAGCAGGGTCACTGGACCCTCACCTGAGTATCCACTCTTCCTAGCCAACTAGTCGATGCTTTTGGAAGCCCTTGTCAAGAAACTCCAATGGACTTTCATATGAAC